GTACTATTAAGTCATCCATATCGTTTATCTAGTTTATGTATAGTCGTGTGCACCTGCTAATCCCACCCTCCTCATTTAACCCTCCTCACCACCACTTTCCATCCTGGGAACCGTAGTTTGTTTTCTATGTCTGTGAGTCTGTTTCTGTTTTATAAATAAGTTTATGTGTATCATTTTTTTAGATTCCATATACCAGTGATATATTTGTCTTTCTGTCTGACTTACTTCACTTAGTATGATAAATGCCGTGTCCATCCATGTTACTGGAAATGACATTATTTCATTCTTTTTTCTGGCTAAGTAATATTCCACTGTGCACATATATGATACCTTCCTTATCCATTCATCTGTCAATGGACATTTAGGTTGCTTCTGTGTCTTGACTGTTGTGAATAGTGCTGCTGTGAACATTGGGGTGCATGTCTAAGAAATCTAGAGATAGTCATACTAAGTGAAGTAAGTCTGACAGACAAAGATAAATACTATATGATATAACTAATACAAGAAATCTAAACAAATTGCAAAACCGATACCACTTTATAACGAAGCCACTGGGAGAAACTGCTTCTCAGGGGGTTACAAGCAAGATGAGATACTCCAGCTGAGTACAAATCCTCTTGTTCCTGGTGGCCTCGCCTCTGTTTCTACTGCAATTGGGCCTGGATAAAACCTGACAGCCAGCCTCAGCCTTGGGGAGAGGCATTTAAAGACAGAAACATAAATGAAACAGCAAATGAGATTGTCAAGTCTGTCTGGAGTCAGCGGCCCATCATGTGCCCATCTGTCCCTGGGCCACTGCATGTCCACCAGAGAAGGTCAGCCTGCCAGACTGTGTGACTGGTGAAGAGGACAGTCCCCCTGCCCCCAGCACTGTGGTACTGAGAGTGGACAGTGGAACCAGACTGTATTTGATCTCAGCTCCAGCCCTGCTACCTGCATGGCCTTGAGTCATGAGCTCTGAGCTTCTAGCCAGGGCCTCAGCCCCTCTCGAGTTTGCTCTGGAAATTAGAAACCCTCAGACCTCAGGACGCTCTTACCCATCCCTCCTGTGTGGGGGCAGTTTTCTACTGGCCACACAGACTGTGAGCACTGGCCTAGACAGACAGACA